CCCTTTTTTTTTTACCTCCCATATTAAAATTTTACTATAAAAAATAAAAAAATAAAATCCATCGTCCCATAGATTTTTCATTAAATAATAATAATAATAATACAAAAAAATTAAAAATTAAAACGTTGGCACAACTGACAATTTATAATAAACAAATAATAAATTTTTATCCAGAATTTTTAATCATTAAAATTTTTTTTTTTCAATCGATTCGTTTTTTTTTTTTTCGGTATTTAAATCTAGAAATTTCCCCCTGATTAACACATTTTATTTATAAATAACATAAAAATAATTTATGATTAATAAATATTAATTAATTAATTATTTATTGATTTTAAAAATGACACAACGATATTTTACGATCACGCTCGTAAGGTAAACACACTCCGAATGACGAATAAAAAATTATTTTTCTTTTAAAATTATTTCATTGGTTAAAAATTTATAACAATTTTTTGTGATTGGTTGAAAATCACGTGATTCTAATAAAATATTAATTTACCTTATTTTTAATAAATGAAATTAATTAAGTTTATTAAAAGAAATATGTATGCGTGCGTGCGTGCGGTGTGTGGGGGTGTGCGTGTTACACACACACGTGTATTACGCCGCATAAGAATTGAGAAATGATATTGATAAAATCGATAATTTTAGTTTCGCGTCGCCATTTTAATTTTATTTAAAAAGAGTTTCTAACGAGAATCCTAAAAAAAGTAAAAAATCGTAATTTTAGAATACTTATGTTTAGATGTAAAAATGCGTGCGCCGAGTATTTTTCTTAAAAAAAAAAAAAAATGATAAAATTTTTACGTTAATTATAAATAATGTAATTTCAATTTAAATTTAAAATTTTGTAAAATTTCGTGACTCGATCGGATTAATTTCAAATGTCATTTTCAAAAAAAAAAAAAAAATAATTGAAATTGGTATGACCCCATTGACCTCTCGACGAAAACATTTCTTTTGTTTGTTTGTTTGTTTGTTTGTTTTAAAATGAGATATTATTAATTATTGATTTTTTTTTAA